ATTCCATCATTGTTTTAGCGTGTAATCTCTGCTGTTTCCCCTCTCAGCATTAAGCACTTGCTAATACAGTAGGTAAAAGGCCTGCCCTCAATTTTAAAGAACAGTAATTAAAAGCACCAAATCCCAGGGATGTAATGAAAAGTTCTTAGACAATTTAGGAGAAGCCAATAAGTACTAGAAAGACCTTTGAAATAAACTTATCAAGATGCGCCATCCACTTTATAAGCGGTCACATTACACATTTTTGACTAGCAGGAACAAATTAACCTCTGGGTTCTGCATAATGTACCCTTTGGACCAAAATTCCCAGGATAGAAGGGGATGCTGGAAGAAAGCTTTGAATGCTAATATTTACTTAAAAAAAAAAAGAATGAAGAAACAGCAGAAACAGAATTTAAGATAGTCCCTCCAACTGCTGACAGCTTTGCTTTTTTCGGTGCTTACTCGTGTCAGTGAGACTTCTGCGTGAACACAGTCTGGAGGTTGGGAGTAAAGGATTCCGGTTTCATGCCTTTCATTTAATATTGTGGGTGTGATTATAAACAGTCTTCAAAGAGAGAGAAAAACAAAGAACCAGCCTGCAACAATGCCTCAGGTAAACCCACCAAAGGTCAATGGTGTACTGCTTTTCTAAATGTATATAGCAATACAGCACTTTAGAGACACAGCGCTGGAGGGACTATTCACACTGACAAATGGAAGACTGGGAAGACAGCTAAGGGCAGCAAAATTATATACATATAGGCATTTATTTTTTATTCCTGCTTTTCAATTTAATTTAGAATTTCTTCCTTTTGTTTTGCAGGACAATGGGATGCTTATGCCTTTTCCCTCAGTCCTATTGGCATATTCCGGGCAGATGATAATTATCTGGGATTGAGGCTATACAGTGCTTCATTGTCTCTTGAGTGTTTTGTAAATGCACTAAAATAAGTCAGCATATTGGGGAAAAGACTGTTCTGCGAGAGATAAACCATGCTGCTTCACAAGGGTACATGGATTTGACCATATTGTCCACAAATGAACAGTACAAATTAATTTATGGCTTCAGAGAAAACATAAACACTAAGCTAAAGATGCCTGCAACTGGCATCGATACAGAGGGTACACGACTTACACTGGAAGTTCTCCAGGACTGAGATCATCTCTATATTTCCTGTTGTCTTTATGATAATTGCTACCAGAATTTGTCAATATGCTTTGGGATCAAAGATGCTATCATAATTATAAAACTATTAGATTAATAACAAGATCCTTGAGTTCCCAGTCAGCAATGTGCAGAGGATTTTTTCTATGGAAATATTTGGATGATGTTGACTCAGTACGGCAGTGTCTTAGTGTCTTCTACAGTGAATAATGGAGACAAGAGCTTCAGGGAATAACATTGCCTGGTTGTTCCCATGGTCTGAAACCCCCAGTTTCTGGTGGAAATAGGAGACAGCTCTGTTTATGGAAGCCTAATCTACCTTGTACTTGAATTATTGCCCAGAGAAGAAATCCTACAAGACTGGGCATCTGCCAGTGTCTTAGGGTGATGCTGCTCTCTGGCTTCTTCAAGGCACTGACTGCCCCCTTGCTGGAGCAGGGGACTGGAACTGTTATCCATGCGAAATGCTGGGCACATTCAGCCACTGCATTTGGCTGTAAATAGTTACAGCACACACAGACAAATGTATAGAATCAAACCCAGCATGTGTAAAAGACACTTCAAAAGAATTTCCCATGAGGATCTGAACTAGGCTGGGATGTTGTATGTGGCAGTCTCCAGCAGGAGCAGGTCAGACAGGCACGGGGGCAGGTAATCCTCTTGGGCTCTGGTACTTGGTTGTCATGAGCTGGTCAAGTCCCAAGAGTGTCACACAGAGCAAAGAGAAGGAATTAAAAGGAAAGTGGAAGGTCAGTATTTAATTTGGGGGCTTACATGAATGTGTTGCTGTGATGCTGACTGACAGCCACAAGAGTTTGCCCTGCTTGTTCTTATGTTTTGAAGACCCTGGCAGTGATGGTGCTTGCACATCGAAAAATGGTAGCAATTAATCGTTTCATAGAGAGCTGGCCCAAGGCAGAGTCTGTACCCACAGCTCCAAAGTAAGGCCTCTATCAGAATGATCTCCTTCTAAAACGGGTTTTATCAGCGCTGTTTCTGGGAGCCAGGCTTTCCAAAAAAGTTCTGCTGAGCCTTCCATGCAGAAGGCTGCAAGTGAAAGCACCCAACATTCAGAACAAAAACTTCCAAATTCAAATGGGGGCTTAGCAAAATTAAATGCTATTCTCAGCATACCTCTAGCTTATGAGGGCTTTTCTCTTTTTTTGCTTACAATGCAACCTCTTAAGTTCAAAGAGCAAGTGCAAGAGGCATTGCTTCCTGTAAATGGCTTGTGATAAGGGCATAAATCTGTTTAGTTTAAATGACACTGCATTTCTAAACCACTTAGTCACAGAAGCCATTTTGCGGGAAAAGCAAGTTTTGAGGAACACTATAGAGTTATGGGCTTGACCAGAAATATGCTCCAATATTTCCTCAGGGATGCTCTTGCTATCTCAATATATCCATGAAGTTCATACTGCCATGACCTACTCATCGTCTTTCTCCTCCTATCCAAAAAAGCACCAGACAAACTCCAGCCTTCCTGTCCCCAAGGTGATTGCATTGCATGCTTGATTTCTTCTGCTCCCTGACAACTATACAGATTTGTATCTGTAGTCAGAGCCCATGCTCACAAATTACATAGGTGTTTTATATAGATAGAGGCGGTCTGTGAGAAAGGGGTGAGGGAACACCCAGCCAAGGATTTCTGACGTCTTTCACATCAGAAATTTCTCCTGTCACTGAGATTGGTATTGTTCCCCTGCACGCTTGTTGTAGTCATCCTGGGTGTGGGTGTGAGGGAGGTCTTGGGGACATCTCGTTGGAATATGTTGTGGGCATTTGGCACCACCCGGGTGCCTTGTTAGAAGACCCCTAACTGGCTTATTAGCTACCATGCTGAAACCGCACCTGAAGCACCACAGAATCAATAGATACAGAAACAGAAGTTCACTTGCTATCAGCTTGAGCTGTACGGATTACAAACTACTCCCATGGATGGTGCCAGCCTACCTCTCCCATAGGTGCTGCTGTCAAACTCATCTGGGAAAGGAGACTCCAGCCACAGCCAGAAGCAGAAGAAAAAGAGATGCCAGCTCTCCCCCTCTAACATATAGTGGAGAAAAGAGTTTATGGTGTTGGAAAGGATTTTAAAACCAGGCCTCCAGCTCTCTGCTAAGAATAACATCGTGTGTGAACGGGATCTTAAACACCATTGTTTGTGCGCTGTGGGGAAAATGCCAGTCCAGTGCTTTAGGATCCTCCCCTCTCCTTCAGCCAGTTTCTATCAAAGGTTCAGCAACTGCGGGAACCAGTAGCCTAGAAAATGGCAGATCATTAAACCTCTGCTTGGTTTCAAAACCCCACTGCCACCAGGGAACAGAAGGATTTTGTTTAAAATGCGTTTAAAATATAAGTTGTCGTTGAAAGGGCCTGCTCAGCTGAGCTCAGTTTTGTGCAGATAATTACATGCTTCCCCGCCTGCTTTGCTGATGAGGCTGGTACCAAACTCTGCGCTGGTCAATGAGGCTACATGCGGAGCTGGGACACCTGCTGCCCTCCTCTATCACCCTGAGAAAGCCACCTCCCAGCTCTGGTGTGATACCCATGGTTGAGGAGTCCCTCCTGCACAAAATACACTCCTTTTTAGCGCTCACAGGCAGCCCTGAGTACCGGATACACACCAGCCTGGCTCTTCTGCGAGGAGGTAGTGTGATATTGCCCAGCTGCCATCAGCTGCCTGCAGCTTCCAGGGCAAAGGCAGGCTGAAATATCCAGTTATTTTACAATGCTTCTCTCTGCATCAAGGCAGATGCTGTCTCATGCAGGAGGAAGAGGTGACAGCAGCTTGTCACAAGACTCGTGTATACCGTAGCAGCAGCAGCATCAGGAACAAGGCTTTTCTTTCAAATGTATTTTAGGGAAATAAATGTTTCATCTGCCAACTTGCAGAGTGTGGCCTGAGGAAGATGTGTGGCAGTGAAGCCAGCTGAGTTACCCTGCGTCTGTGGTCACATGAGCCCATTAGGAGTCTTCAATGGACTTAATTGAAATTGCTTTGTTTTTGCTTTCAGAAAGGAACGAATAATAACAAACTACACAGGAAACACCTTACTGCTGCTACTGATAGCTTGTTTGCTGGAGTGTAGCATGATCATTTCCTAAAACTCAAAGAACTTAAAGCAGTTTTTGTCATGTGCTACCAATAAATTGCAGTCCGTTTGTTAGGAACTTGTCTTGTTCAGGTTTCATGCACCCTGCTTAGCTTAAAGTCACTGTGCAACTTATTGGCAAGGTATATTTGTATTGTCCTGTGCTTTGGCGAAAGGGGCAGACTAGCCAAAGCAAGAGACCATTCTACCTGTGCTCACAACTAATGAGATTAGCAGACCTACTAGTATGGCCAGGCCTAAAAATTGTGCCTGACACATCCTGGATGCCAGACCTATTGCGCATTGCCAGTTTGCCTGTGCGCATGCTGATGACCTCTTCATCACCTGTTCAGTGGGTCCAAGGTGTAAGGAACACGTCAAGCTTATTTGGCATGTTCAGCAGCCTCGATCCCCACGTTGTGCAACGGCCGTTTACCAGGAAATGGGCATTGCACAACCCAGGGAGCCAGGCTGCTGAACGTGGTAACTCCCTAGATTGCCACCCCAAGTAGGAGGACAATGAACACCCCAATCACTAAAACTGGTAGGGTTAGTAGGCCTGAGCTAGGTCTTTAGCTCTAATGGTGGGTCTCCATGGTTTTGATGGCACAACTGAAGAACCATCCCTGTGATTCAACCAGTAACTTAGCAGCAGAAATATTTATGATGTCTGTTACTAGGTATTGCCATGAACATCCTTGTAAGATAACAACTGCGGTTTTGGGTACTCTGGGAGAAAGTTTGGATGTAGAGGCACTCACCATGAAGTGGATGGTCCACTGGGAAATCGCATAGCTGATCATCTTCTTCCTCATGCTTTCTTTTGCCTTCCAGGTGTTCACATGCTGTGTCCTCACCCAGGAAGGAAGCTGGGCTGCCAGTAGGTCTCCTGCAGTGAGCTGCCTGCATTTTCTTTGCCCTGGCCATGGGTGTAGTACACGTGGCAGGGAGAAGCATTTTGGCTGAAGGTAAGTCACAGTCTAAAGGACTCCTGCTGCTGGAATCTGTGAAGGACACAGCACAAGACAGCTTTGAAAAAAGCTACTGTCGTTCAGTGCACCTTCCAGTTTGTGTGAAAAAAGGAAGCATGGGTGTGATCTAGATACTCTACCATTCAAACCTGATTATATTTAAAATGGACTTAATCCTTCTGTGTTGTGTATCAATGCCAAGATGATCCCATGTTGCAGGGGTATGGTTCTGGTGAATTTGACCCCAAAACCTAGCCTGTTCTCTGTTTCCTTCCACCTTAAAACTTTCAGTCACCCTTGTGGGGGATTTTCAAGCAGGACTGTAGAAGTAAGGAAACACCACCAAATGATCAAGAAAGCTCAGCTTCTCTGTCAGTGTCCAAACCAATGGCTGCCTTTTCTGAAGAACTCAGGAGTACAGTAGATGTGGAGCTGCTCTGAAAATCTGTCATCAAAATTACTGTGAAATTTGCTGGAAGCCAAATGCTTTTAAAAATCCAGTCCCTTCTTAAATGTTCCTGTAGATACATCTGCCCTATAGGAAGATTGGCAAGAGTACAGCCTAAAGGTCAACATCTTCCCTGATTCAGGTACATTTGTCCTTTCTTCTGCACCTGGTCGGTAGACTTCTTCTGCACCTGTCGCTCAGACTTAGGTATTGGATAATTCTAAAGGCAGCCTTTGCCTGGGCTGTCAACATTTCCCATCTGTCTTTGTGACAGGTGACACTGGTGATATCTAGAGAGGTACTGACAGTCAACTCATCTTCATGAAATCACCTGCATGCTTTTGTTGGCAAGACAAACATAAGAGAAGTGCACATTGTCCTATTTTCATGAAGTGCAGCCATAAGGTTAGCTTAGATTTGAGCATGGGTGTTATAAACAATCCCAGTTTGAGCTGAAGGTAACCTCAGCAGCAACCAGTGGTGACATGTGCTAGGACACCTGGCCTTGAGTGGTGATGAAATAGATCACAGAAGCCACAGTCTTTCTTCTGCCACGATATTGTCTTATTGCTAACACCAACATCTCTGTGTGTAGCAGAGGCACTGCAAAGATCTTTCAGGTTAGTTTTCTGCCTTCATGAATGTAGTATGAGTCCTCACTCTTCCTTCTAAAGGTAAGTGAACTTTGTGAAGCCATGTGCTGAAATATAAGATGCTGGGAAGCCTCATGGTTCAAGGCAGCAGGCTGCTTGTGGCTGTTAGCATCCCGAGGGAGGTATAACAAATACTCCTCTTACCTGCTCCTTTCTACATTTAAGCCCCACCATAAGTCCCAATTCTGAGTGCTTTATGTGCTGCCTTTGGTAGATGCAATCAAGGCTTGGGCTTGACTCTTCAGACACAAGATGCCTGGGTCTGTGCTGCTTTAATGGCAAACCTAGAATTTGATCTAGTTTTTGTCCATGCCTGGATTTCTTTGCTTGGAAAGACAGAGTAAGACACAACACATAAGCATAATGGATCCATCGGGGAATTTATGGTCCATGGTTAGCATGACCCTGAAGTGAATGTGATGGCATAGGTTTGTCCGCTATTACTACCAAATAACATTAAAATCTTAATGCAATAATGGACTGCAGTCCTGAGCAGTCACCCACACCTAGGCTCTGGGATTTGCAGCACGTGTTCCCCACTCCCCTATCATATCTAACTAGCAGCAGGTTTGAACCCCAAAAAGTCATACTGGAAGAAACTCCATTTTTTAATACATATTTTACTTGTGGTGCACTATCTAGCATTGGCAAAGCATCTGACTTTTTAAACATGTCAGAATTTTGTTTTCTGAACAAATAACAAGTTCTATTTGTAACCAGCCTTGGAGCAGTACTAATTATAACATCTGGAGACAAAGTGCCCAATTCTGCCCTCAGTAAAAATCCAACACAATAGGAATTTTACAGAGAGCTGACATTGACATGAAGAAAATGCAGTTATAAGAGCTCTGGAAATTAGCCAAAGCCTCATGTCAATAAAGGATGATTGTTCAAATGTTATCTTTTCAAATTATCACCAATCTTTGGTTAAACTTCTAAACACAATTGCATGTGTCTAGCCATGGAAATCTTAGAAACCTGGTATGAGGTCCACCTCTCTGTTTGAGGCATATTGTGCAAAATAGTACTCATTTAACTCCTTTAGGATCAATGAGGTTTGAGTTTTCTGGTGAGAAAACAGGTGAGGTTTTGAACAATATTTGTTGGATAAAGGAGAAGGGTGGACCTAGGAGTGATCACTAACATGGGGCTGGGGTTAAATTATTTGCTCAAGAACTCAGAGAATACCAGTGTCGGCAAGGGTTCCTAGCCCAGGATTTCTATCTCAGTCCCTCATCCTTAAATTAAGGACTAGTTGCACTCCCTTGCTAGATTTGATGTGGTGAAAATGAATATGTTACAGAATTGATGGCACTTACATATTATACAGTAATGGAGAACATAAGGGTACATGAGCAAGATGCTCATATAGGCAGTGACTAAAGCTTTCTAAGAATAACACTGGTACTTCCTAATACACAACTTTCCTCCTCAGATTTTTTCTCTGACATGATCATGTACCCCAGTGATGAGCACAACTTATGTATGAGCATGGATAGAATAACTAAGGGCTGAAGAAGAGAAAACAGGGAAGGAACAGAATACCGTCTTAGGCAGACAAAAAAATACCAATGTTTCTGTGAAAAGGTGAAAAAGAGTGGAACAATCTGTTGTTTGAGATCAAAGCAGCAAATTAAAGTGGCATAAACCTTAAAGAGAGGCTGGAAAAATCAAGGAAGTTTTCTGGGGAATAAGACTGAAGATAAATAATACTGAGTTTAAAGCGTATATCTGAGAGTTAAGAGTCCCAAGGTCTACTCCTAACTGCATTGCAAACTTCTCTGGTGCTTGTTGTCCTGAACAGGCAAGGAGCCTGAAATGGTAACTCTTTAGGTTAGCCAGTGTTTTGGGGGGGTGTATTCCTGTGAGTCCAGCAGAGAGTCTGAAAAATACCTACAAATTGGCATGGGGTAAAATTTCCTCCAGGGAACACAGTTTTCTTTTCTTTTTATTTTTTTTCCAGAGATGGCAGTGACATTTCAGCCTGGCACAACAAATTTGTTACTGTCATGCACAGAAATGGCTTTGACTTGTGGCTTAAAATGGTGTTTTGAGCTTGACTTTCAATTGTTTAGAAAAGAATGGGAAATTTCAGGGAAGATAGTAAGATTTCTTTTGGAAGCAGAAGGTTATTTCAGATAGCGTAAGTTCCATTTAAGCCTTTTTGTATAATCACTGGAGACAGACAAACCTGTTGTAGGCATAAGACTAATGATTTTAGGGTCTGATTAAGGCTGTGAACAGGGAAGAGTCTGTCACTGAGAAGTGCAAGCAGCTTTTTATTGTGCTGGTTTTCTATACCTTTTCTTTTTTCTTACCTTTTTTTTTTATTTAGGTAATTTGTTTTCCCTTGTAATAGGTGGGGTGAATTGGTGATATTGGCCAGGTGGTACCAGTTCAGTTATATTCCTTCAGCTGTTTCCTTTTTTGCAATAAAGCTGGGTGGAGTGTTGCTAAGGGTGAAGTAAACAATCACCATATTGACATTTGTGTGTGAAGTGGCAGTTGTATTCCTATTAATTTGCATATCCTTAACATAATGGTGCATAACACAAGCAGAATGACAAAATTACTGTATCGGTTACTGCTTTTACTATTAATTTCTAAAGTGTAACATCCCAAGCTCTCTTTGACTTGATAAAGGACCTCCTGTTGGTGGAACCTCACTGGCGGAAACCAGGGGAATAATGAACAATTATTTCAGATGTACTTTCAAGCACATTGAAATCAAGCTCCTGGGGATTTCAGAAGAAGGAATTCTTCTGAAATAGGTCTGCTAGTCTCCTCTGTTTAAAATGAAAGAGATGGCACTAGGGAGGAGACCAGCACTTGCTGGGTGTTTATTTGTGTCCCTTGCAAAGGCCATAGTACCCTTTCTAGGTACTGTGACAGAGAAAAAAAAAAAAAAAAAAAAAAAAAAAAAAGCAGAAAAGTAAGCAAGCAGTTTTCCCTCTCTTCTCCCATGAAATCAAATAATTTGCATCAACTTGCAAGACACTGGGCAATCCTGAATACCAGTCTTCCATCAAGCCTTTCTCCTTGTTAAGTACATGCAAAATTGAAGGCAGAGTAGAAATTTTCCTCCTTTTCATCTCATCATCTTGCCTCCATGGACACAATTTCAGACTGATCTTATGGTATCTAAGAGGAAGGATGAGTTCAGAAGCCAGATGGGGCTGTATGGATTTTTTGTACAACCAAGCGCTTGTAACTAGCCCTGTGTTCAAATTTTGTAGATGCGGAGAGACAGTCATTTTGATCACAGCTGCAGCACAGTAAACATTACCCTATGAGCAAGCAGATGAATAGCAGGCTATAATCTATTCTCTGTTTTTTTCTATAGGAAAAGTGTGTTGTTTACAGAAAGATGGGTCATCGATAACAATAGAGAGAGAACTGTTGAACACCATCCCAATTAAGTTGCACAATTTGAAAGGAAAAGTATGTGTGCAACACTTTTCCAGAATATTTTCTCCCTTCTCGGGTTTAATATTTTTCCTAGAACTTTTTTTTTTTTTTTTTTTTTTTTTTTTTTTTTTTTTTTTTTTTTTTTTTAAAAAAAAAAAAAAAAAAAAAAAAAAAAGAGAGGAAAAGCATAGACTGAATAATAAAATGCCGTCTTGTTCACTATTCCTTTTTAACTTGGCAAGAGACTTTTAAAAATTGAGAAAACTTCAATAGTCTTCTGATCAACATCTGCAGTTTCAGGTCATCTAGTATTTGTGTTTGTGCAGTAAACTCACAAATGGCTAATATTGCAACTGGGAGGTCACACACTCCTGGAAGAGTGCACACTCCTTATTCCAAGCCCCACTGGAATTACACTCACAAAAACTTACGAAATTAGGAGTCAGGCCCAGAGATCTTCTCATACGTGATCAATTCCTACCCCAGCTTTCCAGGAGAGGCTGGCACTGTACATCATAACATCCTTTTTGTCAAAGACTCATAGAATAATTTAAGTCAGAAGCAACTTCTAGAAGTCATTTGGTCCAGCACTACTGGATTTTCTTGGGAGAGGACCCCAAGGTAAGCGATGTCTATGTCCCTCATTTCTGACATTCTGCATCTTCTGATCCTCTTGTCTGATCCATCTCCTAAGCTCTTAAGCATTAGATTTAGACTTCAGAAAAATTGTGATCTTGGTACCCAGACTGCCTAGATCAGCAGACAAGCTGGATGATAATTTCTGGGAATTTACCTTATGGTAGCCCTGAGTATGTGTGTGGTGCCAGTTCTGGCTCTCATATGGATCATGGGTTGGCTCAGATCCACACCGTATGGGATATAGGAAATGTTCTTAAAATCCATAGTAAAATATAACTCAGCCCTGACCTGTAGCACTTCCTCCTTTGCTGCTTCTCAACTGTTCTGGGAAAGCAGCTGGATGTGTGTCTCATCCTGGAATTTCCAACAAGTTCCCTAGCTCATTTCAGTTCCCTGACCTTGGCCAGCACTGAGCCAAATTAGATATGGCTGACTATTTACACAACTTGTTTAATGCCAGTGTTATATGACATGAAGTTGAATGACTTTGATGAAATACAGCAATTATCCTAAGATGTACAGCATAGGGTATTGCACTTCTGAAATAAATAAACCTTATCTGCAAAAATTGGCAGTTCTGCTGGAACAGCAAAGTGGAATAAGCCGAGGTATCTCTTTGGTGTTAGTAAAAAAACAACAGTGATAAAGCTTAATTTTCATTCTTTTTTTTAAACATCCTTGATCAATTGCGAAAACAACATACAATAACATTCTGGAATAACATTCTCTACAGCTTTCCAGTTTTCCCAGCTCCAGTGACAGTTAAGTGAATCTTCATGTATATACTATTTTGTTAATTAACATTTTTTTATTGCCTTAAGTATATTAACCCAACCTTACTTTCTAGCAGGGGACAGCAGAGTCACTATATGCTCTTTCTACAGCTCTGGTCTCTGGCTAGGCGATGAAGAGAAATCAAAGGCAAGGCCTGGCTGTTCTGCCCGCATTGCTTTCAAGGTGAAAAACCGGCTGTAGTCTCAGGTGGAGCAATTTGGGATGAGCAGCGCTGGCAGTGCAGTAATGCAATCCCAGGAACCCACCACATCCTGCATACAGATTTGTCACACCTTGTGCTTGGAGCTGAGACACTCAGTGAAACAGGGTTTCAACATATTGATCGCAAAACAGACTTAATACAAAAAGGTCCTCTCTCTGCCACGCTTCTCTGTGCCCAGAGAAGAGTCTCTTGTTAAAATGCAGTTCTATGGTCCATGTTATGAACAGCACCGACTTCATTTTCAGTGGTGTTATCTGTCTCACTTTGGATCCAGTGGCACAAAGTGACTGCCATAGTCATAGACTCATACCAGCATTTCTCCCGCTTTGCAACCTGGCACTTTCAGCACATGGGCCCCATTACGCTTGCACCAGCATCAGCTATGTCCTTGTCCACCCCTATAAACTGACAAGCTCTCACTTGTTTCAGGACTGTATTTAAATCATAGTATGCTCTTGTTCAGGTCTGATCTGCACTGGCAGCTTTAGGAAACTTCTAAATACTGCAATCCTCCAACAATACCAGTGGTGAAACAGCCAAACACAGCCAGGTGTGATCTTCAGCAACCTCATCTATCTTTGAAGCTACATGTTCTTCGAGCAGCAGACTCAACTTCCGGATGACCTTGAGAGGTCCCATCCTACCTCAGTTATCCTATGGTTCTGTGCAAATTCAGCAGCACGCTATCCCTCTTCCCCACACACAAGTTTCCACAGAAAGCCGCAGGTACTGACAGAAAGGCAGTGCTTTTATACTTAGCCCCAGTGCTTGGGGCTCCCGTGGCTGCGAGATGTGTTGTGCACTGGTGCTGCCCCATGATCAGGAAACAAGCTCTGTACAGAGTAAGCGAAGTTACCCTATGTCAGAGGTGAACAAGAAAGTCCAAACCTTGTGCAAAGCATGGCTGATAGGCGGTTAGTGGGACTGGGCTTGAGCCCAACCAGTGATTAATGTTACAGAAGTGAGTGTGGTGCTCATTTCACTGCAGTTTCCTTCCCAATATAGGTCTTGTTTGCTTTCCAGTCCAGGTGAGCAACCAGTTTGGACATAATAAGAGTTTAAGCTATTCAAATAAGCAATAGTCACTTGGACTGCCAGGCTTTTGGAAAAGACACTTCCCCTTACTACTGGACGGTTCATCCAGCCTCCTGGGAAATGGGGTCCTGATCTCTCTGTGTTAAAATATATGAAGTGTAGCATTAAGCTTTGTTGAAAGCAGTTGAGCGAGAGGTGAGTGAAAATTTTCTGTCAAAACTGCAGGTTATTTTTCATTTAAGTGGATGTGTTTATGTACATAAAACATCTCCTTTTCATGGAAGATGTGGACTGAAAAAGAAGAAGAAATACTAAATCCAGAAAATGCTTGCCATTGGTCTTTGTTTAAGGAAAGAAGAGACAATTTCTGTGGGGGTAAAATTTCACTCTAGGCCAAAATAACTAAACTAAGGAAACTGAAGTCAAAAAGGCTAATGCACTTGCTGGTTTGCGAAGATCGAAGTCATGCTAGTTTTTCTACTAGCTGGTTTTATTTGGTTCATGAAAGGACCTAGTGTCCATGATGATAAGGAGAAATGATTAAACACAAATGCCTTCTCTTTTGTTGTTCCAGCAATTGAGTTCTAAAACTCCTTAGCTACCATTACCCTTACAGACCATTTCTCCTGCTTGAGGATGAATGGTTGGATTTATCAGAAAATGGTACTGATATGAGATTTGGCTGTATTTCCAGATGACAGTGAGCTCTTACTGTAAGTGAAACTCCAACAACTTCATTAAGTTACAGCAGTTTTAGGCTAGCTTCCCGAGTTTGAAAGCCTTCCCTTCCTTATGACAGGTGATTTATTTTTTTTAATAACAACAGCATTGTTTTTTAAAGAGAAAGGCACCAGGATGTTGTATTTGTTTGCAATAAACACTTCTCACTGTTACTGAAGAGATCTGCCTGCAATAACTTTTCCGGTTGCATACCCACATCTCCAATGACATGGGGGCTTCAGAATGTACAAAATCCCACCAAAGGTTGGCAACAGAGCCCAGTCTACAGTGAGATCTAAAGCAAATTATTTTTTAAAGATAATGTCTGTATATATAATGAATGATTTGTATTTGATTAGGGAAATCTGAGATTCCTACAAAAGCTATTGAATAAAAACTCTACATAATCAAACAGGATAGTTTTAGGGGTTAAAAAGAAAGAAGCATTTTCATTAAGTATTATAACTGGTACTTACCAAAGGCCAGTGGTGACCCTGCTTCTAGGGCTGGAGGTCTCTCAACATAGTTACTTCTGTTCCCGGTTTCACTGCTTGCGTCGGTGCTGGCAGAAGGTTTCTTTAAGATCTCCTCAATGGAAAAGGACAGGCTGGGCTTCCCCTGGCTGGCACGCTCCCGGGGGTCTGTCATCTTCCTGCCAAAGCAGCCACGGGGTAGAAAGTCCTCTTCTGTTCTCCTGACTCTAGGTGTACCCCAAGAAACATGCAGCTGGGAAGGTGCAAGTCTCTCCCCACCTGTACCCAACCTGCAGCAGCACCGGGAGGAGAAACAAAGGCAATCCACGAGTGAGTACACACACCTGCTCCTCTCTGCTGATCAGCCTGGGACCTAGACCTGTGCTCCCGTGTCTGGGGAAGACAGCATTAGAAGTGGGGGTGAAAAGTCTTACTAACCCCACTCACTGCCAGATATTCCCCAGCTGGTGCAGATTACGGAGCTCCGAACAATCACATGGCCATCCCAGGAGGAGGTGTGCTCCTCACAGACCTGGGTGAAAAATACCCCGGGAAGGGTTACTTCTTGTTGGTAAATCCTGTTTGTGGGACAGTTATCCTCTTTTTCTGCTTTCAGGCTGAAATTGGTGACAAGCCCACTGGATTTGTACTGTTACAGAGTTAAGAAAAAAATCAGCAGGATGAATATTTGTCCCTTCTGCCATTTACTAACAAGAGAGACATCCCGTAAACTTCTCTCATATACAAGGAGGAACCTCCCTCACCAACAATTCCCAGGTTATCTCTCAGCCATCCCCCCTCCCATCAGCTTTGGTTCAGATCCACTTTTCTTCTACTTTGGAAACTCTTTGAACTTTGCAAACAGGTGCTTTTCAACATCATCCCGTCTTATCAGTCACAAGAGAAAAAGACGCCCCTTGCAACAGGCTTAGGAGTAGGAATTAGTGCCCTACACCCCCCACCTGTACTCCTGAAGATAAAACATTATTTTCTTTCTCTCCTGAGCTATGAGGCAAGCTAGCTTGATAATCACCACCAGCCGCCTGCGCCTCCCAGTCAGGCGTCCACCGCAGGGGGAGAAGATTTCCCGGATAATGCGGGTGAATGCCAGTGATTCCTCTGCTCAGCCATTTCTATCTTCTCGTTAATTTTTATTTTAGGAAGAATGTGTGGTTAGATACATTCCCATTCCTTCCCTCTCCCTGCCCCCACTGGCATTTCTCGCTGCCCTCTGGGATTGCCCCTCACCTTTTAAATTGCTATGGTTGTGTCTCCCTCTCCTGCTGGTTCTCCTCTGTGCCTTCGTTATCAGGCTCTTATAATTGTATTGGCAGGCCCTGCCTTATTTGTCCAATGAACTGACAATTCTTGAGCTGATATCCCATCATATGACCTCTTCATGGAGCGGAGACCAAAATTACTGTGTAACCAGGGGGCAATAAACTACACCTGATAAGATGAAAGGCTTTTTCCAGATTCGAGATACTGGAAAAGCGGTGAGGGCGGTGGGGAAAAGAACAATGAAAGAGGTAAAAAATGGTGTAGCCAGTCATGATGAAGGATATTTAATTATCTGATTTTATTAATCAAGCTTCTCCCCAGGCGACAGGGTAGACAAGCGAGTGTCTTTCACGCTGATGAAATGCATGGGTGGGAAGTGCTTTTCTTTGTTCCCTTTGCATCCCTCTGCCCAGTGGCTCAACGGAGGCATTTGTGTGAAGGAGGATCTCCTGCCTTCCTGGTTGTGTGATGAGGTGGCAGCTGTTTCATTGGTGCAAAAGGCCTGGCCCTCTCCGTAAGGAGAGGAAACCTCGCTGTTTCAATCGATGTGTGCAGGGGGATGCTGCTCTGGCCAAGCTGTCCTCTCCTGCTTTGCTGCTGGTGCCTGTAATTCTGGCTGGGCACACAAAGAGGGACGTTCTCTTTTTCTCTGCTTAGGTAGAATGAGAGAGTAGGTAATTTATGGGCTGAGAAGAGGTGAGTGTGTCACCTGTATGCAGAGGGAAGGGAAAGAAAGATGCTCTGAATCTACACCCTGGATGAATACTGCCTATCTGATAACAAGGCTCCAGCTTTTCCTCCTAATTCTTGATTCAAAAATCATTAAAAAGCCCAAGGAGGATCCTGTATGCATTCTCTTACAAATGCCTTACTTTCCCTACTCAGCTTGCCTAAGGCACTAAAAAGGGGGCCACTTCTTGCTTTTACTGGATACCTATAGAGTAATGGCTTCAAATCTTACTTCCCAGATGTCATGAGTTGAATATCCTTGGCCCAGCCTCCAGTGTATTAATTTAGCACATATGACAGTGTCTGGACTCTCTGATGTTTACTGTGCTACCTATTCTCTGGAAGCTTTCAGGCACAGGGCAACCAGCTCCAGGGACCAGGACCCTCTGTTTTTTAAGCCTCCCTGCTGTCTGCTTTTCCAAAGGCTCTGTGTAGGTGCAGGAGTGAAACCCATGGATTTGCCTCCTTCAGTTGCCAAGTGAAGCCCAAGAAAGGACATGTTTTCCTTTGCTGTGGAAACCTTTGGCTTTGTTTGTTACTAAAGCCTCTTTGTCTTCAAGGGGTTCATTTCTTGTTGCAGGGGGAGGAGGATTTCATGGGAAAGTCCGATAGGTCCCAGCACTCCTTATGAGAGGACTCATATCTTTGGAGGTCACTGCCTGGGTAAATTAGCCTAGAGACTTCAGGGCAAAAACCACACTTCCTGTCCCTTCTCTTTGCTCCAGCTCCATTTTTGCGGAGTTAAATACACACTGTTTTGAGAGAAAGAAATGTAGCCTTCTGGCAGTTACATCTCTATGAACACTCACACCAGCTCCTAAAGAAATCCGTGCAATTCCGTGTTAGAAATTTTCTGAAGGAAAGAGAGCTGAGACAGGCACACTCCAAGTTTTCCTCTTGGTGAAACACCTTTATTCAATGATCAGATTGATGACACGTAACAAGTGAAACCAGAGTATCTCCAAATTCAGAGAATATAGGCCGCCTGTCTCCACCCCCGCTGACTCGCTCTGTGCAGGCGCCTGCTGAGACAACGCTGTAGTCCCATGTCACAAAATCAAACCGTGCTTGTTTGTATAACTATTCCGTCTTAGTCTGTGGCTTTAAACCTCCCTGCTGCTCCCAGGGAGAAGTTGATTTTCTGTGTGCGTTTAAATGAGATGCGTGCATGCAAATTTACAACTTGAAAGCTTCCTTGTGAAGGCTTTATTTTTGTTCTGTCTTATTGTATTGTTCTTTTTATTAAAACTGAAGGCAATGCCAACTGAGAAATATGTTTTTGTTCTTCTATATAGAAAAACACAACAAGCATTAAAGTAGGAAATAGGATGAATAAGTGACAACTCTTGAAAGGGGATTAGAAAGCAGCAGTGTAATGATGCATAAATCCCATGTTTTGCATACAAAAGTTTTTTCAGAGTAAAATGCAGATTTGATATCAAAATGCTTAAGTAATACTGAAAGACTTGAACATTTTAATATTTTTAATACAAAAATGGAAAAATAATGATAAATGTTATTTCATTAACAAAAAAATTGAAACACTTTCTTTGGAATGACTGCTGGTTTGAAATTTCTTTGCTTTGTATTATATTAAAATAAAGATGAGTGGCAAAAAATAGAAGCTTGAAATGCAAATTAACATTTTGCAAATTAAAATACTTCAGTTGACCCCCTTTTTCAAATGATTGAGCTGCTGGAATATAACAAATTATTTATGTTCAAAACAAGAAATGATTTACTTTTAAATTACAAAAGAATGAAGAAGTTATTTTTCTGCCAAGTTCTAATTTGATGGCTTTTGTAAGGTAGTTATGGGATATTTTTACATTTCTGCTTGACCTGGAAATGCAGATGACTCTCATTTGTTACAATTATTGTGCTACCTGTCTAATTTAGTCTATAAATTCCTTGACGCAGGAAACACATCTTCCCCTGGGGTTGCTGAGCTCTGCAAGGCAGCTCCTTACACCAGAAGGCAGGTGTCTAGAACAAAATTACACTGTGTCAATTTTCTTAACCTGTCCTGCCCATGCCAGGCAAATCTAGAGGTCCACAAAACATGTGAGGTTTTTAAAATATGGTGAGCTTTCAGAAAGTGAAAAATCCTGGATGTGAGGACTCAAAATCAATTTGGGATCAATATTTGGGAGGTCTTTGTCCTATACTGCCACCTCAAAGAGGAAAAAGAACTTTATTTATGTTGTCAGTCAGGAAGTGTGACTGTTCCTGCCCCACTGGTCTTTTCCTCTGCGGGAAGGCAATAATTGGACAATATTCCACCCAATCCCTTTGAAGCTTCTCCTTTAAGCTCCCACTTTTGTATGTGACTCAGAGTCAGAGCTGTCTGGTGTTTATGTGCAGCATGGATGCTGTAGCTGACAACACCTCATCTCCAAGGGCTTGTGCTCAGTCAGCTGTTCAGAGCAAGCCTATGAGCTCTGGTGGTCAGGGGCACCAGCGCATAGGTGCACCAGCAGTTGCCAGTGACGGTGCAGCTGCTAATTGCCACATTGCCCTCCGGAGCCTCATGTCCTTGTAGGTTGTCTTTCATTCTTTACGCGTTACCGGACTCTGACAGTCTCCCCAGTGTCAGTTGCTCTGATCTTCTCAAAGTTCAACAGCTGGCAACGATCTAGCAGAAACCCCATGCAGCCTGCCTTCTGGAGTCCTTTTAACCTCAGATTTATTAGCCCTGTTGTCTCCATAGATTTCTCAACAAGCTCATAAATCAGAAATATTAAGAAAAGGGACACTATAGGTTTAAACTGATAACATTTATTATGTTTTTTTATGGCACAATTATTATCAATTGACATTTAAAATGGCATCATAATCCATCAAGGTGAAATGGACCCAGAAAGATATTTCTCCCAGGCCAAAAATAATAACAGCAGCAGCAGTAAGACTGCAAGAGAGGAAGCACACAAACAGTTTGAGTCCAGATCACTGATTATATAGTTTGGAGGTGGCTTTTAGCAACTTCACCCTCTGTTTAATCCATTCTCCTGTTTCATACTGCTTCTTTGCCCCTGCCAGGCCCCTCAAGCCCTTTATAGATGTTTTGCTACCAAAAATCTTCTGTTAAACCATGACAGGGAGCTTGGCTTTTTGCTTCGAGCAGAGAAGGGCCTGTTATACGTGGGAAGGGCTGAAGAGATCAAAGGTTGTCCTTTTCATAGCAATTTGGACCTCTGAGCAGCAATTGCCATGGAGAACTGTCCGGCATGGCTATAAACTGACTTTGATCTGTCTGCTGTTTGGCTGACAGAAAGTGAAAAATAAAGAAGGAATGTGCTTAATTTAGCCCATCTTGCAAACATGGTAAGAATAAAAATTTTTCTCCCCACCTGCTGAAGAAGGTTACAGAGGCTATAAGTACAGAAATAAAAACAATTTTCCAGAGGAGGGGAAAAAAAAGCTCCAGGAATCGATAACAGAGTAAAACTGAAAATTTATGACCTCTGGCTCTTTATTTCAAATTGGTTGTAGTTTGGTAGTGAATATATGTCCATAGTGATGCATGAGAATGAACTTTCTGTGTCCCAGAATGGTTCTTCATAATCCAGATGTGGAGAAGGCACTGAATCCTCCCATGAATAACTAGCTCTGTGCTGCACTGCTGTTGTTTTGTAGCAGTATCTGAGATTAAAGAATTAGGCCTTCACTAAATTTTCTATTATGGAGATGCCCATCAGAGGATGACAAGCTGTCTCTTTGGCCAATAGGGAGAAGACTGGCCAACAGGGAGAAGAAATGGGCAATTCAATCTGTCCTCAGGTAAATGCCTAAGAGAGGTGCTCCTCTCTCTGAGAGAGGTTAAGTTGACCATCAGTGTCTTGGCTGTAGGGGAAATGTTTATAATATACTAGTGGGACGGAGCTGCCAGCTGTTGTCTCATTCCTGAGAAGACTGCTCTAGAGTCATTTGCATCCTGGGAACAGTTTTATGGGACGTAGCTTTCTCATACTGGGAGTACTTTGAGATTTCAAGAGATGCTTCTACACCAAATCAGGAAGAAAAGTCAAACTCTCAAGGACTCAAAAAAGAAAGAAAGGCTTTTTTTTTCCAGTTCACTAGTCTCAGCTCAATAAAAACATTTCATTTTGATCATAATAAAATGCTTTGTCTTGCTGTTGGACTTTCAATTAATTTTTTACCATTATTAATTTATTTTTAAATAAAAGAGTAATCTCAAACATGGAAAACCAACCTTTTAAAAACTATTGGAACAACATGTTTAAAGAAGTCAAAGATTTTTCATAAACTTTTTTTTTTT